AATAATTATACATCATATATTTCTTTTTGGAAGTTAAGGCCCATAAATTTCTACAAATACTAAAGTATTTTCGGCTTTTACTAAATTTTATTGCAAAAATTCTATTTTATCAATTAAATTTCTGCAAGTAATTTGGTTTGTAAACTATAAAATTATTTATGCGCATAATTTTAAGTAATTAATACATAAATATTTTAACACTTCTTAATGATTTTTAATTGAAAAAGTTATAAACATTTATTTTGACGTATGTGTATAGAGGTGAAATATATGGTACTCTTACTAATAAATTAAAATTTTCATAGCCATATTGTTTACAAAAAAAAGTACTAAAAATTGTAAATAAATATTAAAATAAATATATACATTTTTTAAAATCAATACATTTAAATATATTTTTCTTTCAAAAAAATTTTATTGCTTTGCTATTAACAATTTCACGAAAGTATCGGGTGTTTTAACTAAAATGATTATACAACTCTGAACTATTGTTGGAATGAAATATTTTTTATTATAATCTAGTAAATAATTTCATGGCATTTATTTTTTTTTTGAATATGATTTCCGGCATATGTCCGCCGCGACTATGAGTTCCGTGGTCTATTCGATCAGTCCAATTTTTGACTATTTTTGGCAGGAATATTAGCTTCCAATGCTTCAAGAGTTCTTGGTTTGTCGGCATAAATCAATGACTTAATATATCCATATTAATAGTAATCTAGGGCCGATAAATCGCACGAATAAGGGGGCCAGTTAACAGGATCAGTTCTGGAAGTAAATTGTTACCAAATTGATTTGGCAATAAATCTAATTTTAAGCGCGCTGTATGGCAAGCTCCGCCGTCTTATTGAAACCAAATATCGTCGATAATTATTGAGATCAAAATTCAGTTAGTATGGCTCTATAACGCTCGCCATTAACCGTAACGGCAGCTTCTTCTTTATTTCGAAAAAAATAATGACCGATGCCAGTATGTAAACCGCACCAAACAGTCAATTTTAATGGATGTAATTGTGACCCGTTAACGGCTTGAGGAGGATTATCTTCGCTCCAATAAGCGTATAGCTTATTGAGGTAGCCATTTAACCAGAAATGAGATTTCTCACTAAACATAATTCTTCGTCGAAGTGCTCTATGAACTTCGCGATCAGATTTATTTTATTCAAAGTAAATTACCACAATTTTGAAACGTCGATCTAGCGTTAAATAATTCATGACGAATTGCTAAATCTTACTGAACAGAAATAACATAGTTAACGATGTCGATAGTTGGCGCTAGTGCTAAAAAAACACCCTGTAGTAGAGCATTGGGTGTTGGTTAAAATTTCAGTAAAATTAATATAGAAATAATCCTAGTATAGTAGAATAATTTTGAATAAAATTAAAATAGAAGTAATCCTAGTATATTAGAACACTGCTAAAGTAGGAGATCTTTCATGAATAACATAAGTTCTCTCAACTAACGCTAACCGTACAGAAAAAACTCAGCCTTTCTAATGAAAGCTAAAATGTATATTGTTAGATATTTAAAAAAAATCATTTGGGGATATTATTTCTACTATTTCTTTCAATATTGACATAAGATTTGTTGGATAAATTATCGAAACTTTAATATTGCAAAAGATATACTAGTATTTAGTTTATGAATAAAAAAATAATGCATTTTGAATCACCGCGTGGATTTGCTTCTCGTGAGTACTTTCTCTCTTCTCAATTAATATTTGATAAAAGTCCACTTAAATCTTTAATAAAGTCTGACTTTTTATAATTAAAATATTAATTTCACTTAAAGAAAATTTTTAAAATCAAAAAATTTATTCTCAAGATATATAATCGCGTTCCGGTTCATAAGTCACGTACATTATTCATATACTCATCAAATAATTTGTAGGCAATATCAATACTATCACTACTACTACTGAAGTGGTCAATCATTATAACTGTTCTAAATAGGCATGATTTTCTGACATATCTGGGACATAACAGATACCTGACGAATTTTAATTCTTTAACAAATAACTAATTGTTTGTTGAGCTTCAGTAAACAATATTTCTCAAGTTTATATTTTTTGATATTCTTTGCTCAAGTGCTATAGATCATAAATAACAGTAATTGAACAGATCATAGATCAATTGCTAATTCATCTCACCGTTGTTGCTTTTGGTGTTACTTCATCAGATAATCGTTTGCTGAAATACAGCTAATATCAAAAACATCCTCATAGAATTTAGAAATGTACTGACTCCCAACAATCATGGCAGGTCTTTTGTACTAGTAGTCCCCCAACCCATTATTAGTTTGTATAAATATTAATAAATATTTCCTCCTTTCATAACTGATGCAAAAATTTATTCATTGCTACACGTATGTATATACTTAAGTCTCAACAAATGACTAATGTTTAGTGTGATATTTAAAAGTGTTTAACTTTCAATTAATTATGTGTTTAACACAAATTAATACAATATATTTAATGACAAAATTTGAAAAAAAATTATAATTAATTAAATACTTATAATAATTCTTTTTCTACACATTTCATTATACGCTCCTTCAAATTTCCTAAGGTTAACTATCTGCGAAATAAAAAATAATTATTATTAACTAATTAATCCATCAAAATGATTAATTATAAGAAGGTTTAGCTGTGATTATTTAGCCTTAAGACTTGTAGCGACGATTTCATTGATGATTTTGTGAATATAATAAAAGTAGTAAATGAGTTCTAATTTAATTTAGAATTTTTTATTGGGTTATATTGTAACATAAATATTAAATTTTACATTTTTGTTTTGTTGAGTCATTAGTAATAGATATTTTTCCAAATGCCGTTTCCTTAATGCCTTTTGATTATTAAAAAATATGAAATGAAATATTGTTTTTCCCACTGTTGTGTTTGTAAGATACCCGTATCTCAAACATAATCTTAACTCAGTTATCTCACATTTCAGTTATCTTATTATTATAGTTAATTACCAGTTACAGTTTTATTGCTAAGTTTCTTAAACTGATTTCGCAAAGTCCATTACTTTCCTCAAGACTCACATTTTATGTTTATTGGAGTCATAGCTCCACTAACCTTCCCAAGTCGCAACTAAGCAAACGCAAAACGATACACTCGTAACGAACGGTTGTGACCAACGAAGCGTTACAGTTCAGCTTTAGGTTCAAATTGATTCCATCAACGAATTTCGCAAAGTTTTTAATAGAATTTGCGCCCTTTATTTCTGGCCTATGACTGTCACGGTAAAAAATTAGCTCATAAGTGTTTCGTTGCTTCTTTGGTCTCGAAATGCTAATTTAGTATTAATAGTATATACCATTTAAGTTTAAGTTATAATTACTTTTTTAACATTGCAACATTTAATGGCTTTCATTTGGCTATGGTTTGCCCTATTAAACCTAAAATTAAACATGGACTGCAGTGACTATAAAACAAAATCGAAATTAATACGTATTTTTGTATTTACCATAATTGTTTTATATTTATTTGTTTATTTTTATACTGTCAGTAGATACTCAAGTAATTAGATCTTATATAGGAAACTGACCGTGAAATTAGTATAAACATTAATACTCTAATATATATAATTGTATCTTTAATTAATATTTAAATTTCAACAAATATGACTTTACTAAATAAATACAGCATTAATATATACTATACTATTGAAATAAATTGAACAAATTATTTAAGTATAATTGTTTGTATAAATTATTTGTTTAATTTAGAATAGCTTCGATATTTATATAAAGGTCTATATTACTATATTAAAATAAAAATTGGCACTAATTTACAATTTTTTATTTTATTCACATAAACCTTTTCAAAAAAAACAGAAATAAATACACATAAATTATATTAATTTAAATGATTAATTTTTTTGTAATTTAAGAACACAGTTACTAGTCTGTCAGCAAAAAAAAATTTATATTTATTTGCCTTTTATTTATTTATATTTTTGCCTATTTATATATTGGAGTTTAATTTTAGAAGAGACAAGATATTATTTTCATTCGAGTTTTTTTTTATAAAAGAAGCCTAAAAGTTCCAATTCAAAGGTCGGGAACATGATTAGACTTTAGACAAGCAATTCCCTTTCTAATTTTCCTTATTGCATTTTAATTTATATGATTTATTAGTTGTTAAACGACTTTTTTTAAATTTAGTATAAGTTTTCTGTATCTTATGAGTTTCTTCGTCAAATAAAACTAAAACTTATTATTAGTATTCCACAAAATGTGAAAATCTTTTTACTTGACCTGCATTAAATTGTGGTTTGAATGAAAGTTACTTGAATTAAAACAAAGTGATAAGGAAACATCTCATTTGTCATTTAATATCGCCCCACAAATATCTCGAGTTGTCTTTTAAGATTTTCCTCGCAACGATCGACTGCGATATGTGGCAGCTCTGCCGCAAGGTAATCCGACACGCCATGATATTAAAGTCAACAAGCGGTTAACTGAGATAATTTGTTAAACTCATTCCAGTAGCGGTTTAAAGTAAACGTTTTCATTAGACTAAAGAGAAATATATTTAAATTTTTCATAAAAAGTCTGCTTAAAACCTTTTGATCAATTGATGCAGATATTATATAGATTACAAAAATTTTAAAATATATATAGATATATTTTATATATCTATATATCTATTTTATATATCTAAATATACATATTTCATAATAAAATAATATTTTTAAATAATTTAATATCGGCTTCAAAGCCGATACTCCCATGCACGAATATCTTACAATCAACTTAAATTATGTATACCACAATTTTAAAAAATTTCCCACACCCTTCGTATGTAATATCATCTTACAAATGTTATTGTGGTAATGATTTCAAATACCAACTTCGCTACTTAGATTTCATTTAATTCTCATAATTTTTAGATACTCAGCACAATTATTATGAACATTGCGGCATCAGTTTTTTTAATTTTTATTTTAAATTAATTTCAATATTAGTAATAATTTTTTTACTATTTTTTCAGTATGGCTTACGTCAATTGGATCTCTCCTTACTGTCTCAACTATGGGCGCTTAACGATTCCATACAGGAATTTCGCACTATAATACAAGAACAAGATCAAGAAGATTCGTTCTCACATTCTCCGTCGCCCGCATCATATGACTCAGCCTCTTCGGAAGGTGATGATGAAATGCTAGCCGCTCAACGTAGTGCTGGTGCGATACCAAAAATCATAACAACGCAACCAAAATTAAAGAAATCAAATTCCAGTAAATCTGCAAATATGGACAGAAATCGTCCCATTTCACCAACTTTCACAACTCAACTAAATTCCGCAGATACACAAACACAGGCAAACAAGGCAAATTTAAATATGCCATTTTATGCCACAGCAATACAGTCGCAATGGCAACCTCAGCAACAACAACAACAGAAGCCGCCAATACCGAAACCACTCGATTTGAAACCAGTGCCACGCATGCGCAGCGCACCGCCACCACCACCTACAGTTCGGAAAGCAGCAGCACCGCCACGCCCTACATGATATTATCTAACGGACTTCCTCGCCGGAGTCAAGATGGTCATGTGTAAAGTATTTGTTGGTGATGTAGCTGCTGCTCAGATATCTGATAATGAATGATCATTGTTGGTGCAATGCAAAGTTGGCAGCAGCAGCAGCAGCAGCTTGTCACGTGGCGGGGAATTTCGTATGCGGGCTAAGAGCTAAGGTTGACCATCCATAGTTTTAGTAAAATGCAATTTTCAATAATTTTTTAACTTATAAATGCAATAATTATATATCAAAGACATTTTACATTTATAATTCATATACACGAATATATATAATACGCGAATATGAAAAGAAAAAAATTACCTTATACAATTTTAAGAGCATTGAGTGTGATCTACAGCAATTTTAAGTTTAGTTTGTATTTCTACTAAGGCATTTCTCCAAATGTTTATATACGAGAATGTTATATCGGGCTTAGGAATATCGGTTTATTATAAAAATAGATGAAAACACTAATTAATTAATTTCTTTAAGTGCGATGCTATAAACGATTGAAACTAGATTTTATAACAAATTAAATAATTCATTTTACAATTTAAGTGTAAATATACTATATACGAATTACAGCTACTAATTATGTTATGCTTAAAATCATTATTATTAAATAATAAATAATAAAATTATACAAAACTAAGAGCTATGCTGTTTTCTTTTTGTATTTAAAGAACTTAATATATATAATACTCACTATACTATATAACAAGAATAAGCTTTATATAAAAAAGTAAAAAGTTATTAAAAACTATTAAAATCACCATTAAACCTTCTATTCCGACCTGTTCCAGTTTTATTCAAAATATATACAGTGTCTTTTTCAACCCAACCATCGAACCACGTTAATATTATTATCTTTTTTGAAATCCAATAATACATTTAACCGAATCTATATTACTCCAAGAATATTTTGTTTCACTCATTACACATTATAAAGAATAGAATAGCGTTTAAGACTGTTATTGCTATAGTCAATACTTAGCTATTAATATATAAGATTAAAAATTCCACATATCCCAGTTTAATACAATAAAAATTCTAAAGTGAAGTTGTGTTTTGGTAAGATTTTGGGATAAAGATGTTATGGATGAAATAGACATATTTAAAAATGCTAAAGCACATCATTAATGAAAATCATTATGAAGCCATGATAACAGATTTTCTATATAATAAACAAAAAATTTGTTTCTTAACATTTATCTAGAATGACATGAATTGATAAAATTATCACTTCTTTACTGATGTTTTACCAAACTCTCCTGATAATTAGAAGAAGAGAAAGAGAGTTATTTCTTATGAAGTGACAGTGCTTCGAAGTAGCCTTTGTATTATCTCAAAATACATACCATTGTTGAAAACGAGTATCTATCATAAAGTTCTTTAATTCAATTATCGAGTTCTACGTGAGTTTTGTCTCCAAAATTCTATAGATGCATAATTTTTACTCTGTCACAATTAATAGTTATCATATTTGTCAGACTACAATATATAAATACAGAATTTATAATATAGAATATAAATTACAATAAATTTACTTAATTTAATTTTTATTTGAAAATTATATAGTTTTAACATAAGAGATATATTTTCTTAGGCAAAATATAGAAAATTAATAATTTATTTTTATTTTTTCCATATTTCTACAATTTTAATATCTTTCTTTCTAACTTTTAATGCTATCAGCTGACATTGAGTTTTTTTCAATGTTTGTGGACACTTTGGTTGTCTTAATTTTACATTTCTCAAGTTGAGTATACATATTTTCACATTGGCATTCATTATTATATATATCCATTTATATATAAAATATCCTTTAATAGAATATTATATGGTAATTTTAGCTTAATTGATTTGTAACTGCTGATTGAGGATTTCTCTATTTAACTGCTGCTCTGGTGCTATTGATGAAATAATTTTTATTATTAGTGTAGTGCACTATGACATCTATACTCAGATATGATAGTAGATAAATGAAAAATTACCTTTTAATTATCTTTTAAGATATCTTTACAATTAATTAATTATGCTCAGCTATACTCAGCTTTTGACAAAATTGATTTATTTGATTGAAACTTAATGTTCATTTTTAGCTTAAGTTTGTAAAAATATGCAAGATTATCTTTGTGAAATTTTTAAGATATAATCTTGTACTTCTTTGAAATGTAAAAAAAAAATCTCTTAAGATGCAATTTAAGTTATAAACGCAATTGAAATTATATATTTCTAACACAAAAAATTCGACAAGTTTTTATGTAAACCTTTTTATCCACATCACTTTATAATATATATAATATATACACATAGTATTAGTATTAGGTACTAAGTATTCACTCTCAGTGTCTTTACAAGTAAATTTTATATTACAGTTACTTAGTTACTTACAAGTTACTTACAATACTTGGCATAAAGTAATTTAGAAAACTGTTTGACTGTTTCAGTGGTTATAAATGTATCTATATAATCTATCCTGTTCCTGTAAACTGTCACCTGTCCCAACTGCATATCTAAAAAAATAGAAACAATGCCATGACCTGAAATAGAGTTAAGTATGCAGCTTGCTCCATATGTACACATACTTGATCCAGAAAGTGCTCAAACTCTTGAATCTCCTGGCCGAGTATAAGCATAAAAACCTATAAGCTTGATAAATTTTATCATGAAACTAGTACTAGTACTAGGCACAGTACTATGAGCAATAGACTTGAAATGTATAAATAAAATAAGTGGTCTTACATTGCCAAATTAAAATTATCTTAGCTTAATTTTCCTAACATATAAGTAAATATATTTCTCTACATTTCTGGAATAAGGTTTGGCACACTTTTATGAGCGTAGATTTGAAGTGTACACAATAGGTAACTACGCTGTCTTGCTCACATTATATAGCTTATTTATATATATAATTTTTATTATATACTTTATCTTTTAGGTGTCGTATAAGTAAAAAAGTAAGTTCTTTATTTGAATTTTTATACTCGTATCTTTTGCAAAGCATTCATTAGTTAAACTTTTGGCAGTATTCGTATACTGCATTTTGATTTTAAATCAAAATAAACAATTTTAGAAATTTCAATTAGCATAAAGATATGATAATTTTTTACACATTAAGTCAAATCATAAATAAGTAAAGAAAGTTCTGCTTTTCGGCATTGTCAGCAACTTTTACTTTTGCGGTTTCGGACACAAACACGCCACCTACAATTGGAAGAGAATTAAAATTCTGTAATCGTAGCAGTTTTTACAACATGAAATAAATTTTCACTTTCTGTTTTAATTCTTGTCATAAACTGCGAATAACTAAAACCACTAAAAGCACACATTTACCAGAAAAATACTTAAGCAAAAGGCCTCACAGACCCAAATACTGCACACTTAAGACCGACGCGTCGGTCCAGTTTACATGAATCTAAAAACAATTTTTTTTCTAAAATGTTTATATGAAAAGTACAAAAAATTGTAATGAAAACGTTTGTGTTAATTAAATTCAATTTGACTTGGTTCGGAAAAACAAATTATACTTGTTTTTGTATTAAGCCATGATTGAGGTGTCGATTGATATTGACCTCAACCGCAAATGAAATTAGCATAGCGGATAAAGGCTAACATTTGCATGTGAATGCGTACTCTAATCATGTGTAAAATCACGCTAAATAATGTAACACGCATGGAATCGATAGAATGTCTTTATAAAGAAATTACTGAAATTAGAATTGTAGTTAAATTGATATTAACCTACTAGGGAAAAAATAATCACTCATTTAATTATATATTTTTAATATAAAAAGATATAGAAAATGGTACAGAAAATATTAGATTTTATTAACAAAATATATCGCAAATAGTTACTCAGTTAATTATTATAGTGATCGTACAATTTACCTAATATCTTATTATGCTATTCTAAAAACTGCATAGTTTTTTAACCACTTTGATACTCTAACTCAGGGCTGTCTAATGTACGGCCCACGCGGCTCATGCGGCCCACAACTAATATTTCTGCGGCCATGGTATGTTTCTAATCTACCACAATTAGCAAATTTTTTTTTTTGCCATATTTTATCACATTATTTTGGTTTTGTGGTATCTCCAATAAAGGAATTAAAATTTTTTAAATAATTTCGTACACTTCACGTTAATTTACTTAGTTGGTAAAGACTTTAGTATATATTTCTTTGTACAACTGGTTCAAAAACCTTGTATCCAGTACCGTAAGTCATTATATTAAAAATAAAATATTTTTCGTATGGTAATACATGAACGTATCTATTTATTTCTGCGCCCCTCACGCCTATTTAGTGATTTGTATTTTCCCGCAATCTCATTTGGCCTGAAAAGTCCTGCTCTAACTCAAGAGTAAGAGTAGAGTAAGAGTAACTCAAGAGTAGTAGTTGTAAGACCGTAGGTCTTACAACTGACTATGATCCAGTAGAAAACAAGTTCCTTATATGTGTAATATAAATACCATTTTAATAGTTAAACTCAAACTGCCATTCTAGACTAGATCCTACTAACTAACTATGATAATCAAGAAAATAAGTACCTAGTATAAGTCCATAAGACTTTTTCTTCCATTTTGGAAGCATAATATCAAAGAATGGTGGATCGAGAACTTACATCACAAATCTGATTAAGAAGGCAAAACAGACGTAAATAAAGTGTGGAGAAAACCCCAGATATCACATCAAACTAAAATTCAAATATTTAACTCAAATAATGAACCCACTCTCCCATATGAATGTCAATCATAGAAGGCCGTGTCAAATGACATCAAAGCGTTACAAGTCCTTACAGAAAATTATTCAAGCGTTCTGGCCAAACCCGCTATCAAATGAAAAACAATAGTCCATCACTAACCAAACACCAATCAAGATTGAGATAATAAAACACAAATGGGATTGGTCTTACTCTGCGCAAACCAACCAGTGACACTACAAGAGTGGCGATCCAGTAGAACCCCTTGAGTAGCGAAAGAAGGTGCA